AATAAAAAATAACTGAAAAATCGCAAAAATTCTAAATTCATTAAAATACTTAAGCAACAACTCTTTTGAGAATATTATTTCGAATTTTGTAATTTACTCAAAGGAAAATGCTCTAAATTCATTAAAATAAGCAGAAATAACACATTTCAGGCTTAATTTTGCAATTTGTTACCTTGTTTTGTCAAAAACTTTCGGATCTTTTCATTTTGGAGTTTCACAGTAAAAAACATTCTAAATTTTTTTTTTGTTTTGTTTCTCGGTGAAACACGCTGTAAATTCATTGAAAAACATATTTCAAGCTTAATTTTGCAATTTTCTTCTTTGTTTTGCAATGAGTCCAAAGTTTTGTTTTTTGCGTTTCTGAGAGTTAATCGCACGATTTTCTAAATTGTTTTGAGAAAATCTTTTGAAATAATCCAGTTTCTGTTTTAAAAATGTGCTAATTCAGACCTAAAACGATGATTTTCGTCCTGTTTTCGTCGAAATTTCCTAAAATAATTCCTGACACACTCTAAAGAAAATTGTTTACGACAAGGTGGTATTTCCATTTAGTAAATGCACTATTGATTGATGGTGACAGGGAGAAGAGCAGCGAGATGGGGGCACTGAGTCGCGAGGAACGCCGCCGAAGACGCAGAGCCACGCAGAAGTATCGCACAGCCCACGCAACAAGGGAAAGAATTCGCGTGGAGGCCTTCAATGTGGCTTTCGCCGAATTGCGAAAACTGCTACCGACTCTACCACCTGATAAAAAATTATCAAAAATCGAAATCCTGCGACTGGCTATTTGCTACATCGCCTATTTGAACCACGTGTTGGATGCGTGAGGGATTCACCGGTTTTGTTTCATTTCTTTAATAAAAATTTTTGTTACGAAAAACTTGGCTTATTTATTGTTCGCGTCTGCTGCGGCGGCATTTAACGGTCAAATTAAATAAATAGCTTTCCCGAACATCTGCGTCCGCTTTCCCGATCTGCATCCCCAGGGATTCAACGTGACTGAAACTACTTTCAGCTCGCTTTAGTGCGAAAATCGATTCAAACCACGGGCGTTTGTGAAGGCAAGATGAAGAAAAAAAGACAAAATTTTGAAAAAAACTGGTTATAAATAAATACAGGGTATCCCAAAGCTCCGTATTTCTTCGATTACTTTGACAGTAAAGAAGATAACGAAATAAGGTTTCTTTTGGACGATACAGATTCATTTTTTCTATGGTTGAAAAATATTTTCGCCATTATAGG